TAGGAAACGTGACCACTCTTAATTGCTACATCTTCCCTTCCCAGCTACTTCCTGTGTTATCGAGATACATGGGAGGACACAGGCAAGAGTCCAGCTAACTCGTGCCCTCAGATTCAGAAGCTGTGGTCCATCGGCAGATGGGTTCCCCTAGGACCAGCGGAGGATGACCTTTATTCATGGTAGGAGCTAGGGCAATGGCAAGGTGGATGTGGGCTCTGGAGGGAGGAGCAGAACCCCACCAAAGACCAAACCCCCCCAATACTGTTTCCTTTGGTAATAACTACAGCATTTTTAAAAAAAAATTATTTATTTTTTATACAAGAGCTGGGGTACAGGCCAGAGGTGCGGGCGGGTGAGAGGATTCACCAGTGACAGAGCCGGGAGCAGAACAGGCAGAAAGACCGAAATGCACTGCTGAGGGGAGTAGCGGGCACGACAGGAGAGGTCTGCCACGCCATGTGGGAATCTCCCTGGCCGGCCAGGAATTGAACCCGCTGTGCAGAGGCTGCGCTCAACCCACTGCACCACTGGGGAGGTCAAATAACGACAGCATTTTATTGTGCCCTGAAAAATGCTTTATGTAGACTCGTGTAACAATTAACTGAAGTCTATACTACTGGTCCCATTTTTGCAAAAGAAGCAGGTGTTCAGAGAGGTTTAGTTACCTGCCCAAGGACATACAGCTGAGTAGCCAGGTTAGGGTTAGCCTCCCAAGCCATTACCCTTTAGGTTTCTCATTAACAAGCAAGCAACTTTCCCCCAGGGTTTTTCCCACCCCCAGCTGAAACAAAGCTTCTTTCAGCCAGTTTCTCCCTCAAGGGGCGGGGCCTCAGAGTAAGCTAGGGGCGCTCACGTCCAGGCCTGTCTGTCCCTGGTCCCCAGGATTTTGTGCCCGCAGCCGCCTGGGGACTATCAGCAACTCCTGACCATTGGCTTCGAGGAGCCGTCGCACACGCTGGCCACCGACCTACTGGTGCAGATCCTCATGGGCCAGGCAGGCCCGGCCCGGCCGCCGAGCGCGGCCGGATCCTCGGCATGGGCCGCGCAGGGGTCTTAAACCTGGAAGAGAAGGGTGGGAGCTGGGGCTTGACAGTTCCAAACTCCAGCAGAGATGGCCTGGGAGGGGCTCGCTCGTTCTCCTACTGCTGTTCGGCCTCGCGTTCCAAGGGGTCAGGTTAAGCTCGCCTGTTTGCACCTAGTTCTGTCCGGCTACACGGCCCTGCGCGTGGACACCGCAGTTTCACGCTAAATAAAAGAGAGAGGTCACCAACTCAGCGTCGGCTCGGAGTGCGGTGCCCCACCCCTTGGGACAAGAGTCCCCGCCCCCTCGCGCGGCCCGTCGGGAATTGTAGTCCTTGGAAAGCAAAAGTGAAGGCACCGGCAGGCGGCGAGAGCTTGGGGCATGCGCACAGTTTCACATGAAGCAAAAAGGGAAGTTACGGCGCCTGTCAACAACCGGAACCCAGAAACCGCAAGTTTCGGGTAGCCGGGAAATACAACGCCCACTAGGGTGAAGGAGCCCGGCGCCCCACCCACTCCCATATTTTGACCCGGAAATGACTTTTTGGTAGCCTGAAAGACTCTCTCTCCCGTCGTGCCCCGAGGACCGGCAGGCGATCAATTTCCTAAGAGCCAAAGTCGGGTATTTCTCTAGCTACTTTCGGGTGCTGAAGCCGGCAGGTCGTCGTACCCCGAGGGGTGTCGGGGCGCGGGCAGTATGAGAGAGCCAGAAGAAACTCCAATTGGGGATAGCTAAGCCTCACCCCTACCTTGGATTGGAGAGGAGATCCGGGTTGAGAGGACTCACCTGACCAAAGATACGGCGAGCAGGTGTTGGGGTTCTGATTCGAACTGGATCCTTTTGATTGCGAGTGGTTCTTTGCCAGGGAAAGGGGATTGTCTTTCAGACCCGGATGTCATTCATCTGCGAGTTACTTACTTTAAGCGACACCTTTTTGCCCCCCCTCCCCCTTGTCATTTTCAGTCTGAGAACCCTCGATGCTCTAGAGCAAAGCACTCACTTAGCTACTATCTTTGGCACGGAGTAGTATGCTAAGCCTCATTTTACAGATGAAGAAAAACAGACGTGAGAGATGATGTGAATCAGGATTGAACCCCAAAACTCTTGCTGCTTTGGGGGTGGAGGATGCTTCTGGTCACAATTTATGACTGCAGCAAGGATAGTTTTATTTTATTTTTTTATATTATGTATACAAGAACTGGGGTACAGGCTAGAGGCGCAGGAGGGTGAGAGGATTCACCAGAGACAGAGCTGGGAGCAGAACAGGCAGACGACCGTAAACACTGTTGAGGGGAGCAGCGGGCATGACAGGAGAGGTCTGCTGCGCCATGTGGGTATCTCTCTGGCCGGCCAGGAATTGAACCTGTGCTGCAGAGGCTGCGGACAGCTCCACAGCACTGTGTTCAACCCGCTGAGCCACCAGGGAGGCCCTCAAGGATCATTTTAGTCCACAGCTCAGGTCTGAATGAATTCAAGGTGGTTCTGATCTGAAGCTCCCTAATACTGATTCGAGGTAGCCCCTGTGACCTCTGTCTCTCCTCTGTCTCTCCTCTTTCTCTTTGTAAGACTCTCTAGAGAAGTAAACCAGCCAGGCCCAATAGATTAAAGTGGGCCACAAGTGTGAGTCACATGTAATTTCAGATTTTCCTAATAATCACTTTTTTTAAAGATTATTTATGCATACAAGAACTGGGGTGTAAGCCAGAGGTGCAGGGTGTGTGTGATAGGATTCACTAGAGACAGAGTGGGGAGCAGAAGAGGTAGATCTACTGAAATACACTGCTGATGGGAGCAGTGGGTGAGACAGGAGAGGTCTGCTGCGCCATGTGGGTTGCTCCCTGGCTGGCCAGAGAAGCGGGGGGATCAACTCACCGAACTCATGCTGCAATGGCTGATGATAGATTGATAGTGCTGTCTTTAACCCCTGTGCCACCAGGGAGGCCCAGTAATCACTTTTTTTTAAGGCTAATTTTAGTGACATCTTAATTTAACCCAATAGATCCAAAATATTTCAACACATAATCAGTGTCAGAAATTATCGAGATTACCCTTCCTTCTGTTTTGGTATTAAGTCTTTGAAATCTGGTTTGCATTTTATACTTACAGCACATCTCAATTTGGATGAGTCACACGACAGCTTTAGACTGTCTCCCTTTAGACAAATCTTATAGTACACTTAATGTTGCTATGGGATGGTTGCAGTACCAATAGAGGGAAGAAACAGGCTGGGTCCTCTTGGGAACTATCTATGTCAGTGACTTTCAAATTTGCGTGCCTCAGAATCAAGTGGAGGATTTGTTCATTGAGTCTGGGATGGGGCCCAAGAATGTGCATTTCTAACAAGTTTCCAAACAATGTTGATAATACTGTTCCAGGAACCACACTTTGAGAACTGCTGGCTTCAAACTTGGCTTTATGTCAGAATCACCTGGAGTGCTCTCAAAAATACCAATGCCAAGGCTCCATCAGATTCTGATGTACATGGCATAAGTGAGCCTCAAGTGATTGTAATATACAGAAAAATTGAGAACACAGGTTTACACTGAAACAACCTAGTCAACTCTTTACACGGCTTAATTCTTAGTTTCCTGGTGGGGAATTAAGAACAGGCTCTGGGTGTTTTCATTACCCACCTTGCCATTTTTTCCTCCTGCCTTTCTCTACAGACCTCCCAGAGTCAAGGGCAAGTGTAGGGTCAGTGTGCTAGGGAAGGGGTGAGTCTTGAGCTCAGCTGCTCTTGGGGTACAGTGCTGCTGTGTAAGCATTCTTCATCCTTCAGTATTCATTTGCTGTCCCCATTCAACCTCAGGGCTGTTGCTAAGCCAGGGCACAGAGTTGGACAAATCCAATTCAAATGATGATTTTACAATGATCCTGGATCACAGTCATTTCTGGGTCTCAATGCGCCTTTACGAAGCTGTTGCTCTAAAAACACAGCATATAGCTAACTGCAAAGGTACAGTTGCACAACTTAGGGTGTTCATAGACCCTCTTGAACGCTATTGATAGGCATTTGAACCCCTTATCTTGGGACAGAGAAAAATTAAGAAGGGCTTGCCAACTGACAGCCACAAGCTCTTTTGCAAACAGGTGTTTGCTGTCCCTTCTAAACCCCCCCCCCCATTTAAAAAGTTTTCTAAATAATAGTCACAATTATTTGAAGTTCAGTAGACTACTTTTTTTTTTGTTTGTTTAAGATTTATTTATTTATTTATACAAGCACTGGGTACAGTCAGAAGCGCAGGAGGGTGAGAGAATTCACCAGAGTCAGAGCAGGGAGCAGAACAGACAGACTGACGAAATACACTGCTGAGGGGAGCAGCGGGCATGGCAGGAGAGCTGCAGAGGCTGTGGGCAGCTTTGCAGCCCAGCGCTCAACCGCTGCGCCACCAGGGAGGCCCAGATTACTTTTTTAAGAGCTGGGTTTCCAGTTGCTTTGGGGAAGCAGAAGCTCTGATACCCCACAGCTCCCTCATCCGTAACACTGCTGTGGAGGAATACCTACCTGCCCCTTGAAAAGCATTTGTTTTCCAACACCCCCAATCTTGCTCCTTATTATTTGCCGGGGGCCTCTAGACATTTGAGGAGTGCAATTGCTGTACAAATTACAAATAGCCTTGTATGTCCTGCTTAGGAGCTTGTTGTACTCTCACCACTATCCTCTTTTGTTATTTTTTGTAGCTATTGTTTACCTCCACGGGGCAGGAACGACTTCTTATCGTTTCTGTCTAGCCAGCGCCCTGCACGGGGCACACCATTGGCACCAATAAATGTTGACAAAGTCTGGAGGGGGAAGACGTGAACTCATTTGTCAGAAATTCGCAGTTCACGCCCGTGCCACCAGGAGGCATTAGGGACCCGGGCCCAGCCCACTGGTGAAGACCCGCAGCCTGGGAACTAGGCGTTAAGCACACATTCCGACATGCTGGCCCACACCTTCTGCGGCTTTCTTAGACCTCTTTCTGCTCACAGTGTTCCCGCCCCACCCCCAAACGAAGATAACCCTAAAGAAATCAGTCTGCACTGCCCAGAGAGAAGGGCCTTTATTGGGAGAAGGGGAACAGCCGAGGCTGTTCTTAACAGTCAAGGCCAGAGGGAGAGGCTGGTTTGATTTGGAATTAAGAGAGGAATGGACAGTTTCACTGGAGGGGTTATGGGTAGTGGTGTTTCCTAATGGGGACCGACGGTTTTATAGAAGAGACTGATCAATTTTACAAAAATCAGATTCAAGGATGGTCGATTTCATCTTCCCTGGCGCAGACCTCTGGCCCTTCTCCAGTCCCGTCCAGAGGGTGCTCCTGAGCGCCCTTGCCTGTGTCCTCTGAACGGCACATTCATTCAGGTCAGGGACACGGCCTGCTCGAATCTCAAGGCTTCCACTCATCCTGGGGAGAGGTGCCAGACCGAAGGCCGGCCTCAGAGACCCGCGAACCTTGTGTAGGGACACTCAGGCACAGGGTAGGGCGGTTTAGGATCCAGGACCACCGCCTCATCACACCCGGAGAGAGTGAGACTTTGTGTCCCAGACACGAGTGGCTTCCCAGGGGGTGCAGGAGTTCATTTTCTCCGGCCTGGCGTTCTGGCGCCCCGGGATTGGGTTGGGGGTGAGGTGGGGTTGACAAACGCCGGAGGAACGGGGAGGGGGGTAAGGGTTCCCACCTGCTCCAGGCCGTTCTCCGCGGCCTTTCTGCGGGGAGGCCAGATCACCGCCAGCTTTCCGTCGCCCCTGCTCGCTTCGGGGGAAGGAGCGCTCAGCCGGGATTGCCCCTCCTTCTTACCAGCTGGAGGCAGCCCGGAGTAAGGAGGCCGGCTGCTCCCCTTAAACACACACACAGGCACTCACACACACCCCTCTCCCTATGGAGGGCCTCCATTCCAAGGGAGGAACCTGAGGTTGGAGGAAGGTGAACCCAAAGTGGGAAGATAGGAATCTGAAAATTCAAAGGGATGATCCAGGAGTGCCAGAACCCAGGGAGGGTTCCCTAGAACCCAACAAGGACATGTAGAGTCCACCCTCCCACACGAACCTAGGTGGGGTGGATCTGAGAGCAAACCACTGAGGGGGCGGAGGAGCGCTGAAGCACAAAGATTGGGCTGCCCAGAAGGGTAGGGCAGAGAACAAAGTTGGGGAGGGGTGTCTCAGGATCTCGGAGCCAGAAGGGGGAACCCTAAGAGTCAGGGGGCCAGCGGGAGTTGGGCAGTCGGTGACTGTGATTGGAGCCCTGGGGGGTCCCCTGTGTTGGGGCTCGCATGACTTACCCGTGAGGCTCGGAGCCGGCTCCTTGAATTCGGCGGTGCCATAGACGCTGAGCCGCTGGCGCTGCAGCTCCAGTTCGCGCTCCTGCACCTCACGAACCTCCTGCTCCAGTAGTGACGGCGCAATGGGCGGCGGGGCCCGGGCCAGCACCGGGTACCGACCCTGCACTGCTAAGCGAGGCCGGCCTTCTGCCTCTGGCAGCAGCTGCGGACCAGCGCCACACCAGCCAGCGGCCTCGAAGAAGCGCTTGAGCTGGCCCAGCCGCTGCGGCTGCGGCTGCGGCTGCTGTTCCGGGACAGCGGGGCGCGCCAGCGCCGCCTGCCGGTGGGCCTCCCTCTCGATGTCTCGCTGCATTTGCGCGCCCGCGCGCGCGCGCTCCAAAGCGCGCGGGAGCGCGGGACCCGGGCCAGGCAGGGTGAGCACGGGTCGCACGCGCAGCACGACGAGTTCTCGGCTCGCGCGGCCGGGGCTCAGTCCCCGGCTCCGGCGCAGGCTTTCCTCACGTTCGCAGCTGCGGCGGATTTCGCGCTCAATGGGCGTCTCCATGAGCGACTCCTCTCGGAGATGTTCTGTTGTCTCAGGGCACAAAGAAAAAGGCAGCCCAGCGACTGAAGAGGAGGTCTTGGTACCCAGAGAAGGACACTGTCTCAGGACCCCCGCGCTTCGCGTTTCAGATGGCGCAGAGTCGTCACTGCCTGGCCCAGGACTCTCAAAGACCCCAGGCTCGGACAGTCCGGGGGCACTCTGCGCCCTGCCCGGTAGATGGTCCAAGGACTATGCTATCTTGCTCGAGGGTCTCTGCGCGTTGCTCAGTGGAGGGTACGAGGACCTCTTCGCCTGGCCCCGGGACCTCGGTGCCCCCTGTGCCAGTACCCGGGACTTCGCTGTCTGACCCTGGGGGCTCGGGCCCCTCTCTGGGGACGACCCCAGGGCTCCGTCCCGGGCCTGGGGGCCTCGGTGTCCAGGGTTGGAAGCGGTTCACAAATCTCAGTTCTCAGGGACGGAGTTTTGATGCCTAGAGCTGGGACACGGTGCCCTGCGCGGCACCTGTGGCCTCAGCCGCCGCCCGCGGGATCCTAAGTGTCGGCGGCACCGGCCTCTCCTCTGACCCGCCCCCGGCCTTGGAGAACGGCCCCCAGGGGCAGGCCGGGCACCGCCCCCTGCACCTGTCCAGAGGACTCTGGCCCCGCCCCAGCCCCGCCCATGGGTTCAGGGCGCCACGACTGGTCACCAGATTTCGTCCACAGGCGCGCCTCCTGTCAGCTCAGGACACCGGACTTCTGGAAAAAAGGCTTCCCTCGATCTGGCTTGCTACCTGGGGGGACTGGCCTGGGTGACGTGCGTTCTCTCGTTGGGCGCCATCCTGGCAATTTTTCGGCCAGTGTCCTGCATTAACAGGAAACTTAGCCCCAGCGGTGCGCCGGGTTGGGCTTCTGAACCACAAGCCCTCCGGTGAGGATGGCTCCCAAAATCATCTTTTCCAAGCCTTACCGGCTCCGTCAGCCAGTGCCAGCCGGCAGGCAGTGACGCCCCTGGCTTCTCCCGGTTCCAACACTGCGGCGCTCCGCTCGGGCTGGAGGGGGCGCCAGGAACCACCTCACGCACGCCCCGGCCTCCCTCTCTGTACCTGGACTCAGAGAAGCTATAGCGACGCGCGGCCGCCAGCGCCCAGCCCGGAGGCAGCTTCTCATTCTCTCGAGGAAAAGTTCGCCTGGCGTCGGCGGGCAACTGCCCTCCCAGATGGGGGGTTGCGCAGGCGGGAGGGAGGGTTGTGGGCGGGGGCAGCCGCGCGCAGCGGAGCGGCTGCGGTTGGATGGCGGTCACCTTGGGCCCAGGCTGCTAGAAGACCCATTGGAGGTCAGAGGCAAGCAAGTTTGCCGGACGGAGCTCCCGGCTGTCAAGGACAGAATCAACGCCCCTGGGCCGGCGACCCACCCCAGGGACATTACCCAACTCTGTCAACCCTGGTGACACCCCTCCCCTTCCATCCTCTCTCCCTTTCCTGGAACCCAGTCTCAAATTGCTGCCCCCCTCTCTCTCTGATCTTCTCTGTGCTTTCTTCCTCTGATCCCACTGGCCTAATTGGAATCAGGCCCACTCCTAACCTGAGAGGGGCATCTGCCCTCTTCAAGGCTGTTTCCGTGGGGATAGCAGCACTGACTGGAGGTAGGGAGGATTGAAATTACACTTCTGGAAATAGTCATCTCTATAGTTGCATCCTCACTTTACTGCTTCCTGTCCATCCTCCAGCCGTGCTCACCCAGCTCTCATTCCCACCATCCCAATGAGCCTTCTCCATCCAAGCACACTGATGACCTTATTTGCTAGGCTAGGTTACTGGATGTCCCCAACATCTCCTTGATGTTGGGAACAGCACCCTCTCCTGGCTTCCCTCCTATCACCCAGGCACCTTCCTTTCACTGACATCAATGGACTTCCCCTCTCGCTTGCACTGGGGCTACCTGATGAGAGAGAGCAGTCTAGGTTAGCATGGTCATCCCACAACCTCTTCCTCAAAATTGTTTCCACTGGGTCCTTCCATTGAGAGACTGAGGTTGCTGCTTTACCCAGCTTGCTCTCGCCAGAACCAAGGGGTGGTCCTGACTGTTATCTGGGAGTAACACTGTCACACATGACTTCTCTTTACAAACCATTTATCAAATTCTCATCAGTTTCTCAGTTTGAGTACACATCTCTTTGCTGTCACCACTCACATCCTTACCGATTCCAGTCTCATGCTTTAAACACCCTCTCTGTGCACATGTCTCCCACATTTATATCTCCAGCTATGGCCCCTGGGTTTTGGACTCAGCAACTGTCTCCAGGCTAACAGATATGCCTAGCTGAACACTTTCAAAACTGGACTCTTGGGTTCCCAAACCCATGTATCCCCAGTTTGCATGGCAATTCACACATTGTGTTTTTCATGTTCAAAACTTAGGAATCAGGGGCCTCCCTGGTGGCGCAAGGGGTTAAGCACAGAACTATGAAGCAATCCGCAGCCTCTGAAGCACGAGTTCAATCCCTGGCCGGCCAGCGAGCAACCCACATGGCACAGCAGACATCTCCTGTCTCTCCCGCTGCTCCCCTCAGCAGTGTATTTCAGTAGATCTGCCTGTTTTGTTCCCCACTCTGTCTCTGGTGGGTCCTCTCACACACACCCCACCCCCGCATCTCTGGCCTGTACCCCAGCTCTTGTATGCGTAAATAAGTAAACCTTTAAAAAAAAAAACTTAGGGGCCTCCCCTGTTGGCGCAGGCAGTTGAGCGCAGCGCTGTGAGGCTGTCCGCAGCCTCTGCAGCGCGGGTTCCACCCCAGCAGCAGGCGAGAATCCCACATGGTGCGGCAGACCTCTCATGTCTGGCCCGCTGCTCCCCTCAGCAGTGTATTTTGGCCAGTCTGACTGTTCTGTTCCCCACTCTGTCTCTGGTGAATCCTCTCACCCTCCCGCGCATCTGGCCTGTACCCTGGTTCTTGTAGGCATGAATAAATAAATCTTAAAAAAAAAAAAAAACAAAAACCTTAGGAGTCAGCCTCAATTTCTTTTTCCCTCAACCCCTTCCTCTAATCCATTCGTATACTGAATTGTTGTTGGCTCTGTTGATTCTGCCTCCAAAACATATTCTGAATTTGACCACTCCTCTCTACCCTCATTCCAACCACTTCATAGCATTCTGATGGCTCGCCCATCAACTTAGAAGAAAAATCCAAATTCCTTACCCAAAAGGGTAAGGAAGGCCCTTCTCAGATCTCATCTTCTGATATACCCTCCCTTCATTACTCCTCCACTCTAGATTTCCTGCTTCCCGCAAATCCCCTAATTGCATCCCTCCCCAGGACCGTATCACTTGCACTGCCTCCTGCTTGGAATAACTCCTCATCACTTAACTGGCTTCTGCTCTTTGGATCTCAGCTGATTACCTAGCCTACATTACACAACCTTATCTATAACTGACCCTCTACTGTACTTAGCACCAATCATCTGTCTTTATTTGTATATTATCTTGTCTGCCAGAAAGTGAGCTGCATTATTGCATTTTCTTTTTTTTTTTTTAAGATTTATTTTATTTACACAAGAACTGGGGTACAGGCCAGAGGTGCGGGAGATTGAGAGGATTCAACAGAGAAGAGCAGGGAACAGAACAGGTAGACTGACCGAAATACACTGCTGAGGGGAGCAGCGGGTGAGGCAGGAGTGGTCTGCCATGCCATGTTCGGTTTGGCCGGGAGCCGAACCAGTGCTGCAGAGGCTGTGGACAGCTTCACAGTGCTGCGCTCAACCTGCTGCACCATCGGGTAGGCCCTGCATTATTACATTTTCTGTTCGTCACTTTCACCTCTACGCCCAATCTCCCATGCCTAGAACAGAGGGTGTGGGAATTGTACAGCATAACCAGGGCTGTGCTGGGGGAAGTCCTGGGACTTCAGGAAACCAGCCTTGAATAGGCGCTGATCTTCCCACACCCCCATCCTGGGCTGATTAAGTTGTACTTGACACATAACTGTTGCCTAAGAATAATTATTTGTGGGCCTCCCTGATGGCACAAGGGGTTAAAAACAGGGCTATCAAGCTATAGCCAGCCATTGCAGCATGTGTTCTATCCTCATCATCCAGGGAGCAATCCACAGTACGCAGCAGACCTCTCCTGCCTTGCCTGCTGCTCCCCTCAGCAGCATATTTCAGTAGATCTGCCTGTTCTGCTCCCCACTCTCTCTGGTGAATCTCCTCCCTGACCCCCACACCTCTGGCCTGTACTGCAGCTCTTGTATGCATAATAAATAAATCTTTTTTTGAAAAAAGAACAGTTATTAAATGACACATATCAGGTGCCTACACCAGTGCTGGGACTAAAGAAATAAATTTGGAAATTGCAGTTGAGTTTGAGAGGTAGGTGCCATTATAAAGAGAATAATCTTGCTTCAGCGTGGAACACAAGACCAGTACAGAGGGAGGCCCACTCACTATACATGTAAATATTTAACAATTTTTATACTCAAAGTACAAATAATTAAATATATACTCCCCTCCAAAATTGGAAATAACCCAAATATCCATCAACAGATGAATGGACACACAGAATGCTGTGCATCTATACAGTGGGATATTATTAAGCCATGAAAAGGAAGGAAGCTCTGATATACCCTTTTGTGTGAACAAACCTCAAAAACATACTAAATAAGAAAAGCCAGTAACAAAGGCCATATATTATATAATTCCATTGAAATGTCCAGAATAGGGCCTCCCTGATGCTGCAGGGGTTAAAGTCTCAGCACTATAGCTATTGCCAGCCACTACAGCACAAGCTTGATCCCCAGCCAGGGGGCTGACCCACATGGCACAGCAGACCTCTCCTGTCTTGCCTTCTGCTCCCCTCAGCAGTGTTATTTCAGTAGATCTGCCTGTTCTGCTCCCCACTCTGTCTCTGGTGAACCCTCTCAACCCCCATACCTCTGGCCTGTACCCCAGTTCTTGTACGCATAAATAAATAAATCTTTAAAAAAAAATGTTCTCTCAGGCCTCCCTGGTGGTGCAAGGGGTTAAGACACAACCTATGAAGCTAACCGCAGCCACTGCAGCACAAATTTGATCCCTGGCCAGGGAGCTACTCACATGGCACAGCAGGCCTCTCCTGTCTCACCCGCTGCTCCCCTCAGCAGTGTATTTCAGTCATTCTACCTGTTTTGTTCCCCACTCTGTCTCCAGTGAATCCCCTCACCCCCCCCCACACCTCTGGCCTGTACCCCAGTTCTTGTATGCATAAATAAGTCTTTTTAAAAAAATGTTCTCTCCATAGATTTCATACAAAAACTTGCATGAATGTTCATAACAGCATTACTCGGAAAGTTGGAAAGAACCCAAGTGTTCATTAACTGACAAATGGGTAAACAAAATGTGGTATATTCATGCCATAGAATATTATTTAGCCAATAAAAAGGAATGAAGTACATAGTACAATAAGGATGAGTCTTGAAAAAATTATATTACAGGAAAGAAGCCAGTCACAAAAGGCCACATATCATGAGTCCATACAAGAAATGTCCAGATAGGGGACTTTGAACAGAAAGCAGGTCAGTGGTGGCCTAGGGCTCAAGGGTAGGGAGGTAATAGCAAAGAATATGAGTTTATTTTTTAAATAATACAAATGTTTTAAAATCAACTGTGGGAATGGTTGCACATATGTGTGAATGTACTAAAACTAATGAACTGTACATTTCAAAATGAAAAAAAAAAAAGTTCTCTCTTGCTATCATGACAAAATTACCTTCAGAATGAACTAAAAGGCCAGGTTCAATTTAGAACATTTTGAATCCTTAGGAGTTTTATACCCACATGTATGAAACAGGGGAACCCCACCCTCAGTCTGGCTCCCTTTCCTCTCCCACCCCTAACTTGGCCTGCATAGCAAAAAGCCATGTGTGTGTGTGCAGTAGGGACCCCATGCCATATGTCCCGGCTCTTTCATTTCCCTTTTGCTAAGAGCTGCCCAGGGCAGGGGATGGCCAGGAACGGGGAGCAATTTGGCTGCATGGTCTGCCCTCAGTAGGTCATAGAGGCCTTACCAGTGAATTCAGGACCATTGGGGAAAGAATGCTGAGGTCCTAAGTACTCCAATATACCCTAGAAGAGGGAGGCACAGGATATAGTTGGGCACATTCCTTTGCCCCATGGGGAGGGTCCCAGCTGGACTATGCCCTCTAAAGCAGGGGCTACGGGCAAGGATCTTCCTCACTGAGGTTGACATGAGACTCATGAACCCAGGGCCAGGGCCATGTGTTGGGGGACATCACGGGGGCTTCAGGAAACCAGCCTAGAAAGTGGGTGTTGATACCTCCACCTCTGGGAGTGGTTAAACTGCACCTTGCAGTCAGCTGAGACAAGTGGTGCTGGCCCTTTAAGAATGGGATGGCGGGCCTCTCTGGTGGCTCAAGGGATTAAGACACAACTTATGAAGCTATCCGCAGCCACTGCAGCACAAGTTCCATCCCCGGCCAGGGAGCTACCCACATGGCACAGCAGATCTCTCCTGACTCACCCGCTGTTCCCCTCAGCAGTGTATTTCATTCAATCTGCCTGTTCTGCTCCCCAGTCTGTCTCTGGTGAATCCTCTCACCCCCTAGCACCTCTGGCCTGTGTTCTTGAGTGCATAAATAAATAAATCTTTTTTTTTAAATATTTATTTATTTATTTATACAAGCACTGGGTACAATCAGAAGCGCGGGAGGGTGAGAGAATTCACCAGAGACAGAGCGGGTAACAGAGCAGGCAGACTGACGAAATGCACTGCTAATGGGAGCGGCGGGTGCAGCAGGAGAGGTCTGGGCGCCATGTGGGACCCTAGCCCTGCATCCGGGGATCTAACCGGTGCTGCAGAGGCTGCAGGCAGCTTTGCAATCCAGCACTCAACCGCTGCGCCACTGGGGAGGCCCCCATAAATAAATAAATCTTAAAAAAAAAAATAAAGAATGGGATGGAGACCTAGAAAAAAGACCCTTAAGATTTGGGTAGGAAATTATCTGGACCTTCCTCATCAGTACCCTACCCCTAAATGTCATGGCAGTAATGATTGCAAATAAAGAGGCTACTTGATCTAACTCTCCCTTTTTACAAAAGAGGAAACTGAGGCCTTGAAATCTGGGACAAGTTGCCCACAGTTACCCAGAAGCCAGGCCTCCTGGTTTCTAAGGTTCTCAGCATCTGGTCACCAGAATCCTCTAACTGGATCAACCCCTCCCACATATCTCCTTCAGAACCAGGGTTTGAGAGCAGAGGGCAGAATATCTAAAATATCCCACATGTGTAGGATGCAACAATGCTCAAAGGTGGGTGACCTTTGATAGTCAACTGGATTTGAGGTGTATGGGGTGCCAGGTAGAAGTGCTAGTCTCTGGGAGGGGACAGCAATTCTCCACTATCACCATCACACCTCACCTCACAGTTGAGAGCCAGGAGGCAGTCCAGCCCAGCAAAGAGGCCAGTAGCTGGTGAATAATTTATCAGGACAGCTGATAGTACCTCCCCAGAACTGGCGGCAGCCCCCAGCTCCCCTCACCCCAAGCACCTCCCAACACCCAGCCCAAACCAGCTGGACCAGCTCTGCCGGTGCCACCCAGTGCTGCCCGCAGTCCCCTTCCCCCCACCACCAGCAAAGTCAGCCTCTGGGGCACCTCTGGGGCACCGTCAGGCAAAAGGGTAGTGGGTCTTGAACTCGGAGAACAGAGCGTGGGCTTTTGGGCAGAGATGGCCCTGGAGAGCCAGGTGTGGGCTCCGGCCACACCCATGTAAGTGTCCAGGGTCAGGGGGGCTGGTGGGGAGGGCCTGGAAGGGCCTGGGGCACACTGGCCTTTCCAGGAGGTATTGTTATAGAGCAACCACCCTCAGGTCCCAGCCACCTTCCCTTTGGTGGTGATGGGATTTGGAATTCCCAGTATCTTTGGCTTTGACCTGGGGTGGGGGTGGAGTCCACAAAGCCTATATGGAATTAGCTTTGGGACATCCTTTTCCCCCTAACAGTATGAGAGCCCCAGCTGGCCTCTTCAAGGGAACCAGGGGCACTGGAGGGAGGCCAGCCGCCAACCTCAAATGCTCTTAAATGTGGCTCTCCCTAGAGAGTCAGGTGGGCGATATGGACCCCCCTGAGGAAGCCCCAAGACTGTTAAGGGGAAAAGGATGTCAGCAACCCGTTTTATATTGGGGTTGCCCTGTAACAAGACCAGCCTGGGCATGGGATTATTGGTGGGGGCAGAGAAAGTCAGGGTCTCTAGCTACCATGCTTTGTTCCTAGAATCACCCTCTGCATGTCCAGGGTGGAATGAAATGCTTAAGAACCAACAGAAACAGTTAACAGCTTCCTTACTGGGAAAGCTGATGGCAAAATTTAAATGATCATCAGTCTCATGAAACAGCCACCAACTGTTCCTGGTGGCAACAGGTCACTGCCAGGAATGCTGTTCTTGCAGAGTTAAAGATAAACAGTTTCAAATGTGGTTTGCAAAGTATTTTAATATTTGAAGTACAAAAGCCTTTTTAAAATAAGTGGGTAGAGGGACTCCAGAGGTTTGTAAAGAGTTCTGGAAGAGGGGTTCCTTTGCAGGGACCCCAATTTGGTTCCTCACTCTTTTGGGTTTCCCCATTGCATTATTCACCAGCTAGAAACCTGGTTGCCTAGCAATGGGAACTCGATCCCCCCCAGCAAGGAAGAGGCAGGAAGATTACATCTTGCAGGGTGGAGCAGGAGAGGGGGACTTCAGCCCTCCCCCTGGGGCAAACCTATTAGCAGGGCAAGTAGACTTCCTTTGGAATACCCTGCAAAGCATGACTTGAGCCCCATGTCCAGTTGAAATCAGAGATTCCCAGCTTCATCTCTGGTCTCCTGGCTGCAAGATGGGGGTGCCTGGAAACCCTTCCTCTGGTGTTCCCATCCTTTGGGCCTGAAAACCTCAAGTTTTGATTCTGATTCATTGACCTTAGACATTTTTTTCATCACTTCTTGTCACTTATCTGAGCCTGTTTCCCCATCTGTTAAACAGGGACAGTACTATTTACTAGGATGGTTGGGAGAATTAAATGAGTTACTATAGGTGAAGCATTTAACAGAGCCTGGCACATGGTATGTGCTAGCTAATGGTTGGCTGATTTTATTCTCAGTGAGAATGTCAACTCAGCAGAGTCAACTACAATGTATTAAGATCAAGGCAGGCAGGGAGAGGTGGAGGTGGTTTGTGGCAGCCTAGCGGAAGCCCTGGAGGGCACTTAGAGCACTATAAATATATATATATATATATATAGTAAGTGCTAAATACATGATCGATATTATGCCTTCATGGTGTGTGTGGCCAGGGAAGATATGGGAGGCCCCACTGGAGTGTGTGCAATGAGGTGACTGCTTACCCAGTAGGGTTACTGCTCAAATTAATGAATTTGAACTTGTGCCTACCCCTAGGCTAAGGGTCAGGACAATGGGCAGATTGATATATCTTCCTAGATAATGGTCTGTGAAGTACCTGCATGAAGTCAGAGCTCAGTGCATGCCAGTGATAACAGTTTGATGGAATGATTGTCCCTAAGCTTCCTCCAGTACCAGTCAGCCCCTAGCTGCCTGGGAAGCCTAGATGGCGCCAGGGGCAGCCCTGATGGCTGGGAAATGTGGGCCCTGGGGATGATTCAAGGAGAACAACAATGGGGGACTCTCAGGTTAAACTTTACACAGTATATTCTCTTCCCCTCCTCCCAGCTCAGACGGAGTCCAGTGCTAGGCAGCACCGCCTAGTGACCCTTGCCCCAGGGGGGTTGGCATGTGGAAGAAGCAACTTGAGTTACCATAGCAACGGCCTGTGTCCTAGTGGAACAGTCACTTCTCTTTCCAGACTCCCTTACATTCCGCCCGCCCCCTCCCACCCCCCTCTTAAGGGATCTTAGATATGAGCCCAGGCCCAGAGAGTGTGTGAAGTTGAAAAGAGACACACAGCAAATTAAAAGCTGGCAAAATTAGAGTTTCTGTAGGACAAAGAGGGGGATAGTTATAATTAATTATAAAGATTACTAATCATGGAAACTATTAAAGTTATTAATAGTAAACTATGCTGTTTTTGGAGTACTGTATCCTAAGATTTTACTTGCGTGGATACTTCCTGGCAAGGTACCCCTTTGCAAAGTCAAGCTATCCCAGCACATTTTACAGATGAGGAAACTAAGGCTCTAGGAAGGGCTTGAGCTCAACCTGTTTTAGTTTCTCCTCTTGGGATCTCAGGAGTCCCCAAAAGCCCCTTCTGTCCTGGCTCCTCCCAGGTGCAACAGAGAACTAGAGAAAAATGCTGGGCTTTGGTTGGTTTTCAAGTCGCTCAGGGGGCGTTTAAAAGGTCACTCTTCTAAGGGATGGGGGCCCTAGGAGACTCTTGAATTCCCCATCCTCTTCCCCCAGGCCTGTGGCCGAGAGCTCCCTCTATCGGCAGAGGCTAGAGGTCATCGCGGTAAGTGACGCCCTCCCAGGGCGATAGACCCACGACCCGGGAACCCACAGCTTCTTCCCCACCTCACGTCCAACCTCCCGAGCAGACCTAGCGCTGTTAAAGGGGCGGGAAGCAGCGCCTTAACCTCCAGCCCTGCTTGGGTATTCCTACTTAAAGCCTCAGGCCGCTCTGCTCCCTAGTTCCTCTGTATGGTCAGCTGCCGCTCCCAGAAGAGTGAGCTGCGGACCCTGCACTCCATTCTCCCCTCCCTGCCCTGCACTATAAGATGCCCCATTCTTGAACTTCGGTCTGTCAAATACCCCAATGTCTGGCTCCATCTCTCAGGCCCTCATCTCTCTGACAACTTATCTCTGAATCCGCACCTCTCTGGACCCCATATAAGTACCCCAATCTCTGAACTGCTATCTCTGCACTCCCAGCGTCTGCACCCCACCCCCACACTCCATCTCTCTGGACCCCATATCTATATCCCAGTTTCTCTGGACTTCTATGACTCCACCTTCATTATTTGTCTTCTCCCTTTGATCCTCATATCTGGACCCCCATTTCTGAAACCCCGTGTCCCTTAACTGTCTCCACATCCACAACTCTACCCAGCTCAGGATCCACACTCCAAGGTCCTCTCGCCTCAAATCCACAGACCCCCCGCAGGAACCCGCGAGGCCTCCGCAGCATCCCGGGCGCGGCCCGCCCCGCCCGCCCCGGCCCGCCCCGGCCCGCCCCGGCCCGCCCCGGCCCGCCCCGCCCCCTCCCGCCCCACCCCCTCCCGCTGCTGAGTCAGCGCGTCCGCAGCCCCCTGCCCGCTCCAGCACCCCCCCCCCGCCCACACCTTGCGCTCCGGGGAGCCCCCTCCCTCAGCTCGCTTTGCAGGCACGGGAGCCGCGGGAGGCGGGGGGCGGGAGGGTAAAAGGGAGGCGACGGCCCCGCCCAACCGCGTGCAGCTCCGGGTCCTGTGCGCAGGAGAAGCGGCGGCTGCAGGAGGAGATCCGGGCGGCGCGGCGCGAGCTGGAGGAGGAAAAACTCCGCGTCGAGCGGCTCAAGGTTGGGGGCGGGGAGGGCGCCTGCGGAACCAAGCGGAAATGTCTGTCAGAGTGGGTTTGGGGGACCCTTGGATCCTCCATCTAATTTGGGGGGCGTTGCTTTCCATTTGGGGGACGGACATCTTTCCCAGTTTGGCAGAGTGGGTGGTGGTGATGGGGACTTTTGGTCCACCCTTGGGAAGAGTGTGGGGACACTATTCTTTGGGATAGGAAGGGGCTCATGGGACATGGATCTCACCTATGCATGGATCTGTCCCTCCTATTCTGGAAGGGGTAGGGAGATTGATGGGTGTTGTTCTTCCCATCCTAGGAAAGCGATGGGCTGCTAATGGGGCTTCTGGCCCACCTGAGCATGTCGTGGGGGCAGTGAGGACATATATCCCAGCCTAGAGGAGAAATGTGTACCGCATTTAGTTTGGGCTGGTCAGGAGAAGACCCTAAATGAAATGGGGTAGCTGTATGTTCAGCTGGGACTCCCTTCCCATGCCCAGAGGAAGTCTCTCCGGGAGCGCTGGCTCATGGATGGAGCTGCTGAGGGGCCAGAGCAGCCAGAGGACCCCACCTCACAGGACCTCCAGTCTCCTGAGGAACAGGCTCAGGCTCGCATCCGGAACCTGGAAGATAGCTTGTTCACGTGAGTGGGTGGGGCCCCTACTTGCCCTTTTTTCCCAGCAGAGCAAGGCCAGGACCCTGGGCCTGCTCTGGGGAGGTGCCAAATTGAGAGAGAGAGAGAGAGAGAGAGAGAAAGAGTCTATTGAATTTGGGAGCCTACAGCCCCTTGTCTCTCCTCCCCAGACTCCAGTCCCAGCTGCAGCTGTTGCAAAGTGCGTCCACAGGTGCCCTGCACAAGCTTTCAGGCAGGCCTACCTGGCGAAGACAGGTGAGGAGCCAGCAGGACAAAAGGGGGAGAGGTGTGACCGCAGAGTCCAAAGCAGGACCTCGCCACATATAGTTTAACTAGTTGGTCCGCTGCTTCTACTTCTTTGCTTTGTTATCTGGGACAAGTCACTTTCCTTGCCCAAAGCTCTCTGAGCTTTTCTTGAAGTCCAAGGATTCAGCAACATTTGTGCCTGACTATAGTGAGGATTTTCCAGTCTCTCCCTCTCCCTGATGTCTTGCCTTAGCTATCTAGTGCTGTTGCAGGGCAGAGAGGAAAAGACCTGTTAATTGGTGTGAGAAGCACTTCATGGGTTTTTAGAATAAGCCAGGAGTTCCTTGCTAGCACCTGAATGGGACTGGGGACTCAGGAAAGGCTTCCTGGAGGTGGTGACACCTATGCTCAATCTGAGTGAGAACTAGAAAAGAGGGGGAAGAGAATTTTAGGCAGAGGAAACTCCAAGGAAGACTTGGAGACTGGAAAGAGGAGAATGGAGTCAAAGAACTATTCCCCCACCCTATTTTCTTTCTCTTGCCCCCTACCTGCCTTGATTCCAGTCACAGTGATACTCTGATTCCTTCAACTTGCCTCACTCATTGTAGCTCCAGGACCTTTACACTTGCTGCCCCTTCTGCCTAAAATGTAACCCCCCCCCTTTCTTGATTCAAGGGTGCTTCTCACCCTTCAGGTTTCTGTTCAATGTCATCACCTACTCTTAGAAACCATCCTGCATCTTATATCTAAAGAAGTCATGACATCACTTCCCAGACACTCCTTAGCCTTTCAGCCTGCTTTTTTCTCCCTCACTGGGGAATAATTATGTTACATAGCTATTTGTGGTTCTGTTTATTACCTACCTCAGCCCACTGGAATGTAAGTTTCAATAGTGAGAAAGCATAAGTGTCCTTTATCCACTGGAACCTCAGTAACTAGCAGAGGATAGAGAGAACTCAAATACAGAGGACTGCCTGCATGGCCACAGTATTGATCAAGTAACTACAATATGTGAGGCACAGGAACAAAGAGAAATAAGACAGGTGAGGAAGTCTTAGGTGTAATAGATTGTTTAGTTCTGAAGGTAATGGGGAGTCATTGAGGGCATTTAAGCCAGGGTGGGGGGGTCTGGGATGGAGGGAGGCTTGAAGTAGGGACATCGCCTGACCTTGACTCTGTCATCCTTGTAGGGTCACCGTCCTCTTTCCCAGCTCTGCATGGAAACAGACCCTGCAGGTGGGTGTTTGGGTCCCAAGAGAAGGGCTCTTGGGACTCCCTCCTCACCCTGTAACCGCATCTCTCCTCTGACTTCCTCAGGCCAGACTGATCCGGACAAGCGAGCCTCCCTGCCAGCTGGGCTAGTGGGCACACCCCCAGAGTTCTCCTCTGAGCATAGAGATGAGATTGTAGAAGTTCCACCAGCCCTAAGGCTGGCCCCCGGGGCAGCAGGGCCTTCCTCAGAAGCCAATGGCCCCTGCCCAGAACCAAGCTCTCCTTCGAGTCCAGGGGTAGCAGAATTCAAGGGCAGTGGGGGTGAGACCAAAGGAGGGGGTGTAGTGAAGGTAGTGTGGGAGGGGCTGAGGGCCACAGAGGACTGTGCCACAGAGGCCACAGGCCCAGAGCTGGAGGCGAAGGTTGAGGAGATGGTGCTAGAGGCCATCGGGGAAAGGCAGGAAGCCGATCGTCTAGGGCTCCCATCCTGGGTGAAAGAGGAGAGAGGGATTGTGGAGGTGATCTGGGAAGGAGTTGGGGGCCCGGAGGACAGTAACTCAGAGGCCACAGGGGAGACAGGTAGGGGACCAGAGGCTGTGCCAACCAGCTCACCAAGAATCCAGGAGGGAATAGAGGAAGCAGCTTCTCATGAGGGGGATGGTGCCTCCAGGAGCAGCCCTGATGGTGACAAGCAAGGAGGCTCTGGAGGAGTAGAGGGGTCATTCATTTGGGTGGAAAGAGTGACCCTCACTGAGGAATGGGAGGAGCTGCAGGTAGAGGGGGTGGGAGGACCAAGGGTGACAGGCAGGGAGGGAGGAGATGAGAGTTCTCTGGGGGCAGAGGAGAGAGGAGTGGAAGAAAGCTGGGAGGTGGAGAAGAGCCTAGCAGAGCAATCTGGGGAAAAGGGAAATGAGAAAAAGGCAGGGACCGAGTGGGAAGGGGAGGAGGGGTTGCTGGTGGGAAGTGAGGAAACTTTGCAGCTGGAGAGGAGAAGAGATGAGGAACCACTGTCCATAGAAAGAAAGGAAGTGGCAGATAGGGAAAGAGACAAGGAGTCATTGGGAGTAGAGAAGACAGGAGATGATAAAAAAAAGCTAGAGGTTGAAAAACCAGTGGTGATGGAGAGAAGAGGTGAGATATCATTGAAGGTAGAGAAAGAAGGAGGGGAAGTGTTAAAGGTAAAAAGGGAAGAGGGGGAGGAAGAATTAAAGGTAGAAAGAGAGGGAGGTGAGGCAGCACTGAAGGTAGGGAGAGATGTAAAGGAAACATTGAAAGTAGAAGGAGGAAGAGGTGAGGAAGCATTGGAGGTAGATGGAGAAGGTGGTAAGGAAGCATTTAAAGTAGAGAGAGGAGGAGAAGAAGCATTGGAGGTAGAGGGGGAAGGAGGTGAGGAAGCATTGGTGGTAGAGGAAAAAGGAGGTGAGGAAGTATTGCTGGTAGAGAAGAAAAGAGATGAAGAGTTAGAGGCAATTCAAGAACCATTGGTGTCAGAGAGAAAAGGAGAGGCATCATTGAAGGTGCTGAGAGGAGGTGAGGAAGCACTACAGGCAGAGAAAAAAGGAGATGAGGAAGCATTGGAGGCAAAGACTATGCAAGGTCTGTGTTCAGAGGAAGGTCTGAGTGCAGAAGAACAGAGAGAGTCAGGAGAAGGTACGGAATGTCAGGCAGAGGAGGTGAGTGAGGCAGAGGCTCCCTTGGAGGCCATGAAGGAACCAGGACCAGAGGAAGGATCACAGCCCCAGAAACTGGAAGTCTCCCCAGTGGAGACAGCCATGAAGCCCCAAACCCCTGCTGAGGGCCACGGCCCCATGGGGGACACCACACCCGTCCTGGTGGAGACCCCAGCTCCAGAACAGCCCCCTGAGTGCCAGCCACTGCTTCAGGTAGAGGGGCCCAGTGCCCACCCTGTGCCCACCTATGCACCTGACCGGCAGCCTGAGCCATCTGCCCCTCCCGAGGGTGAAGAGGCGAGTGGCCCTAAGCAGAAGACGTGCCAGTGTTGTGCGGTTATGTGAGCCCAAGCCCTCCACCCCATACCTAGCTCCTCTCACAGCTACCTCGGCCTCTTGGCATCCAGCAGAGGGTTCCAGGCACAGAAAAGGGCACCACAGAGCTGACCTGTGGCACTTGGGAGCCAGCTGGCCCAAATATCCACCTCCACCAGGGCTTCCAGACCCCTTGCCTACTGCCTGTGATTATGGCCCCCTTCTGTGACAAAGCCTTTATACTTGAAAATAAAACCTTAAAGCACTCTGACAGTTTGGACATGGGTGTTGCTGGCACACAACTACCTCACCATGTCCTATAGGAAAATGATGGTCCTATTGCTGCTAGAAGCAAAGATTCTGAGTCAGTGTGAGTATAGACATGGCCACTGCAACAAAAACACCTCAAGCCAGAGTATCTATGAAAACATAAATGTTTATTTCTCTGGGTGGTTCTGATCTATAGTCACTTGGGGACTCAAGTTCCTTCCCATTTCTTGCCCCACTCTCCCCTTACTTATGGCCAAAGCTGGATCGTGGGCACATTGATGTTTCAGTTGATGGAAAAGGGAAGAAAATTCAGAAGAACTCTTACCCAGACCTAACACATGTCACTTCTGCTCACATTTCATTGGTGAAAACCCACTGCATGGCTGTCCCTAGGTGCAAGGGAGACTGGGATTGTGTCCACCTACAGTTCTCTGATAGCAGCAGGATAGATTTACGGAAGCAACTGCCACTCTGCATTTCCTGTATGTTATGTTGTTTCCTCATCTATCCATGTATTCCCCTGCTGGGGCCAGATCCTTTTCTATAAGGGGTGCTTTGTTCTCCATTCTTGCTGGCTGTCAGGCAAGGTACTCAACCTCTCTGATCCTCGGTGTCTTCATCTGTCAAATGAGCACCCCTTTCCTGACCTGGGGTCAGATCAGCTAGAACCTGAGGACTGGGGGGGCACAGAAGGCCCAGCTCCTCAGGTGTAGGCAGGAAGTGTTTCTCATACCCAGAGTCAAGGGGAGCAGGGCCAGCGGCCTGGAGGGGCTCCCTAACTGGTAGCGGCTCCATCTCCTCCACTTCTAGAAAGGGCAAATCACCTGGGGGCTGGGCCTGGGGCACGTCCTGGGGAGAAAGGAGGCTGAGATTCTACTCCCCCCACAACTTCCACCCACTACCCACTATGCCAGCATCCAAAACCACCCGCCCACCCCAGACCCCGAAAAGCAAGACTTTTTGCTCACCTCCACATGGCGCTGGCTGAAACTGCTATTGGCAGGATCAGGGGCCTTCTCCCAGACCCAGCGGGGCAGTACCTTGTGTCTCAGATGGGGGCACCTGGCAAGCAGGTAAGAGTCAGGTCAAGGCATCCAGGTGGGGGAACATTCATGCCCAGGATGCAGGATCTAGGGACATCACAGAGCAGAGGCGCATCCTTGCCACACCCCCTCGAAGCTCAGCTAATTAATTTCAGCTGCCCTCCCTGCCTGGGCAGAAACCCATGTATGTGTCCGATAGCCTCACCTTTGGAAGATGACTAGGCCCACGCCACAGCCCATCAGGAGCGAGCCCCACAGGACAAGGACACCTGGCAGAACGCTCCACCTCTGGGTGTTATCTGTGGGGGAGGAGTCATGCTCATGAGTGGGACTGGGCTTGAGTGAAGGGAGTAGGAGGAAACAAGGACTGGGGAAATCTTAGGGTGAGAAGGGCACCTGTGATAGAGCAGTTATCAACGCTAGGTCCATGTCAGCAATGGATGAAGAGTTAGACACACAATACTAGTTAATACACAGCAGTATTTAGAGAATCAAAAGACCCCCGAGGCATCATCAGTAACCACCACCCCAAGTCAAAAGGTTGTCCACGCATTTAAGTCCGACTTAATGATTCCATATACCCTTCAAAGGAGCAGGCCCCTCTTTTGTGGTGCCATCGCACCCTGCCCTACCTGGAAGGTGAAACGAGAGGCTGGGACCAGGTGGACCCTGTCCTGCAATGGTGGACGCCGTCATCCACAGCTCATAGTGACCCGCTGGGAGATTAGGCAGGGTGATGTTCTGGGCACTGCCACTCACTGAAGGACAGATCCAGAGAGGTTGTTGAGACAGTCAGGTGCTACCTCAGGGCCTTTGCATGTTTTCTCTCTGCATTACTCTCCCCCAGATAGTCACAAGACTCCTTCACCTCCTTCAGCCCTTTCTCAAATGTCACCTCCTCAGGGAGGGCTTCCCTAACAATAACCCCCCCCCCCACACACACACACTTAAAATTGTACCTCCTTTACCACCCATCCTCTCCACTTCATTCTCTACCCAGAATGCAGCACACTGCCTGGAGAGTGTTTTCTGTCCATGCCTGCATGTGCCCCCATTAGAAGATTCCAGTAAGGCCATATTTCCAGCACTGGATCAGTGCCTCAAATATAAAAAAGAACTCAAGGGCCTGTTAAGTCTCAGCACGATGAAGCTACTGGCAGCCTCTGCAGCACGAGTTCAATCTCTGGTCGGGGAGCTAACCCACATGGCGCAGCAGCAGACCTCTCCTGTCTTGCCTACTGCTCCCCTCAGCAGATTATTTCAGTAGATCCACCTGTTCTGCTCCCTCCTCTGTCTCTGGTGAATCATCTCACCCCCAGCCCCTCTGGCCTGTACCCCAGTTCTTGTATGCATAAATAAATAGATATTTTAAAAAATTAAAATGGAGATTTGTAATCTTTTCACTTTATAAAATTTGACATTTTATAAAATTTATAAAATTTGACATTTTATAAAATTTATAAAATTTTCAATGTCAATACACATAGACTGGAGTCTTCATTTTTAATGGTCAAATGATAGTCCATTAACATTAATAGCCGTTCAGGTTACTGCACGCCAGAGAACTGACGAAATCATGTGTTCTAAGGGCTGAGAGGGATCGAAAAGGTCATCCTTGGGATAAGGGGCAGGGTAAACTGATGGGTGACTTGTGAGGCTGGAGCAGGGGCAAAGAGGCAGGGAAACTCACCATTCTTGCAGGCAGAAGGCCTGGTTCCGCTCTGTGCACACAAGGTATAGTGGGTAAGATGTCCCCGCAGTTGGTGCCTTGGGACCTCTTCCCATGCTATGGTGGGGTTCCCAGAGGGGGCATCATGGAGTCGCTGCAGCTTTGGCCCTGCTAAGGGTGCTGAAGGGAAAGTCAGTTGGTCATGGCCTGCTGGGGTTTGGGGACTCTCCATCCTTCAATCCCAACTCTTACCTAGTTCCTCTCTGAATTTCCAGATGGAGGGTGCAGGAGCCAAGCCCCAAGGAGAAATGGCCGTCACCGTGATTCTATAGGGGACCCCTTCTCGGAAATTCCCTGGGTGGGGGAGGAGCAAAGATCAGTTAGAATTTGTTCCTCCTGGGCCTCCCTGGTGGCGCAAGGGGTTAAGAGACAACATGTGAAGCTGTCTGCAGCCACTTCAACATGAGTTCGATCCCCGGCCAGGGAGTTACCCACATGGTGCAGCAGACCTCTCCTGACTCGCCCGCTGCTCCTCTCAGCAATGTATTTCAGTCAGTCTGCCTGCTCTGTTTCCCACTCTGTCTCTGGTGAATCCTCTCACCCCCCACACTTCTGGCCTGTACCCCAGTTCTTGTATGCATAAATAAATAAATATTAAAAAAAAAAAAGAATATGCTCCTCTTCCCCCCTCATTCATTTCTTTAGTAGGGCTCATCATTTGGGTTTCCAGAAGGACACACTCAGATAGATTCAAGTAAAAGTAATATTTCCGGTAGGTAACCCCAGAAACTACTAAGACAGGAAAGTGTAGCTGACTGGGCAACCAGGGTACAGTTCCACTGAAAACCTCTGGGGATTCGGCAAGAGAGCATAGGCCTGAAAGCCCCTCCACCCGGAGGAGGGGGCTGGGGTATTTGTCCAACAAGCCCTATTAGTCATTTTCTTGGAGAGCTGCTTCAGAGGGGCCTTAAGTCTCTGGAACTCCCAGTCTGCTGTCCAAGCCATTAAAATGCTTCAGGTACCAGAAAAAGCCAATTGACAAGACTGGGAAGTGGCCAAGCACAGTGTATGAGTGGAGCCCTGATAGACTCATTGTGGTGGGTGAAGGCTCTGGAAGTTCTACCTCATAATCTGCTGCTGTAAAGCCTTTCCCCATCTGGGAATTTTCCAGAATTGGGGCTCCTCTTTTGTTCATATTTATTTATGGCCCTCAAGAATCTGCCTAAATTTCTAAAGCAATACCTCATGATCTCCCAAGCCCTTTACACCAAGGACAGACTCCCCCACCAGAACCTCACTGCTCCTCTTCTCTCCTAGTCCCCAACCCAGTATCTAAGCTTTAGCCCTCACCACCCCCATGCACAGTCTGTCCCCCTCCACAGCAGCAAGAGGGCGCCTGTGAGCACCTGAGTCATGTCAAGTCTGCTCAGAATCTCAAGTCTCCTCTGCTATGGATCCCACCTCAGTCAGAGCCTCAAATGATCTGCCCAGAGGCCTGCCTCCCACACTTCCTCCCACTCTTGCCTCATTCAACTCCAGCCACACTGTACCCCTAACCCATCAATCACATTCCTACTCAGGGCCTTTGCACTTTCGGTTCCCACTTGATATCACCACCTTCTTCAGGTCTTTAAGCTCAGATTTCACAGTTCCAGAGAAGCCCATTCTAGCCTTTCTTTCTAAAGTAGCTAGTCTCCCTCTCCCTCTTACCCAGCTTGGTTTTAGCCCAACTACATTACAGGCGCACTTGTTTTTTGTTTCACTGGCTGCCTGCTCCATAAGAATGCTGGCTCCATGAGGCCAGGACATTGCTGAGAGAGAGGATGGTGTGAGGGCGCTAGATTTGGCTTCAGGAACCTGACCATGTAGATCAAATCCTGTTTTATTGCATACTTGATGGATAGTCCTGGGCAAGTGGCTTAGCCTCCCTGGTTCGTCAGCTATAAACTGAGCATGATAATAGCAGACAACCTTCTTTATAAAGAAGTTTGAATGAAGCTTATGGTAAATGTTGCTAGACATAAGCTGTTATTGCTGTGTACAGTGTCAAGAACACAGCCTGACACATAGCGAATGATCACTGACTACTTTCTTGCATGATACTCTACCGATAACACTGTCTCCTGCTAGTCCACCCAACACGTGGAATAGGAACCCAAGTATCCCAGTGCCTCACCTGGCAACAGAACACTGAGGTTCCCTGGGGGAAGCCGGATCCAGTTGAAGTCCTCCAGGGCATCCCCATCCAGAACCCAGTCCACCACATGCTCCCGTGGCTCCCCAGGTCCCTGTTGCCAAGTCACCAGCAGCTCTGTGCTCCCAGGCATGCTGTTGACAGACACCTCACGGGGGGCAGATTCTGGAGCTAGAAGACAGGGAAAAAAAAGTCTCAACTGTCCACTCAGGAAGTCCGGTCCCGCCCTGAAGGGCACTCTGCAGAGGATGGCCACATCTCTTACCCAAGCAGGCCAAAGAGAGGTTGGTGACGGGCTCCCAGCTGGTGGCATTGATGGCGGACACCCAGGCCCATTTGGCCTGGGTGGGGATGGAGGAGTTGCAGCAAGGGATCCCCTCTAGGCTCAGCTTCTCATTTTCAAGTTGGAACCAAACTGTGTAGCTCACCTGCATGCAGGACCCAGGAGCCTGAGGGATGAAGGAAAGGAGGGCAGAGGTTATTATCTCCCACTCATCAGGCATCTTAGTGAGGTCATCCGACTATTCCGTTCTTGAAATACTTTTGTTGGTGGCTTGGTTTTACAGATGAGGAAACTGAGTCTTAGAGGGGCTCAGTGGCAGAGATGGGAATAGAATACAGTTCTGGGACCACGTTAGGGTGCAGCGAGTGAACCACTCACTTTGTTTAATCCAGTAATTAAGATAAATGATATTTTAACAAATCAAAATTAATGACAAAACTGTAACAAAACAAAACATTAAAACTTTAAGTAAAAACAGGATCTGACGCTGCTCTTGTACAAACTTGGCTCATTGGCCTCAACCTAGTCTGTGTCCTGTGCAGTTCTTAGGGACTAAAATATTTTAACTGTTGTACAGAGGAGTGGCTAGAGGATGGGACCCTCCAGGGGGGCTCTGGGGAAGTGCATGGGAATTTTTTGTTGCTGCTATAATTGCTATTTGAAGGACAAGAGCCAGAGATGCTATTTTGTGCTAGAAACGAAAACTTATTCCATCTCCCATGACTTTTTTTTTAAGATTTATTTTTATTTATTTATGCATACAAGAACCAGGGTGTAGGCCAGAGGTGCAGGGGGTGAGAGGACTCATCAGAAACAGAGTAGGGAGCATAACAGGTGGATCTATAAAATACACTGCTGAGGGGAGCACTGGGTGAGACAGGAGAGGTCTGCTGTGCTATGTGGGTCTGCTCCCTGGCTGGGGATCAAACTCATGCTGCAGTGGCTGCCAATAAATTCATAGTGCTAAGACTTAACCCTTTGTGCCACCAGGGAGGCCCCCCATCCTGTGACTTTTGATTGTTACCCACACTGGAAACTTGTGTACTTGACAAACCTGTCTAATCATTTTAAATGATCCTAGAACCAAAATTTTTTTAATGTATAAATACATAAAAGGAGCTTGGTTTTTAATATTCACCGAATTTTTTTTTTTTTTTTTGTCATTTGTTGACATTTTTATTTTATTTTTTTTTTAATATTAAATTTTATTTTTATATTCCCCCATACAATTGCAAACGCCCCATTCTGACCCCAATCCTTCCCCTCCCGCCCCCCACCCCCTTCACCGAATTTTTTTAATATTCTAACATAGAACTTTCTAGGCTGTCTTTATCCTCAGTTCCCAGCACAATCTATGTACTACTCAGATAATTTTTCAATATTCCCTTTGAAAGTCTCTGGAAACTGGCTCTATGGACTGGCTTTACATGGTTGGTTTTGGTAAATGTTCTCATATGTATGCAAAGAATGCACGTTCTGTTGTTTCCTATGTGAGTTCCTTAGGTTGTTTGTTAATCATATGATTGTGTCCTTCAGATCTTGATTTGTTTACCATCTGTTTGATAGGAAATGACTGAAAGGGGTATCTTAAAAACCTCCACAATGGTTAAAGGTTTGTGTATTTCCTTTAAAAAAAAAAAAGATTTTTTAAATTTATTTATGCATACAAGAACTGGGATATAGGCTAGAGGTGTAGGGTGAGGGGTGGTGGTGAGAGGATCCACCAGACACAGAGTGGGGAACAGAACAGCAGGTCGATTGAAATACACTGCTGAGGGGTGCAGCAGGTTAGTCAGGAGAGGTCTGCTGCACAATGTGGGTAGCTCCCTGGTAGATCGGTCATTCAAACTTGTACTGCAGTGGCTGCGGGATAGCTTCATAGGTTATGTCTTAACCCCTTGCGCCACCAGGGAAGTCCAAGGGTTTGTGTATTTCTAGTAGTTCTGTCCATTTTTCGTTTATATATTTGGAAGCCATGTAGGGACATATGGATTTAGTACTCACATCATACTGATGAGCTTGAGTCTTTTTGAATCTTTTGCTATTAGGTAGTAACTTATTCCCCCCATTATTTTCTTTCTTTTTTAAAAAAAAAATTATTTATTTATGTATACAAGAGCTGGGGTACAGGCCAGAGATGTGAGGGGTGAGAGGACTCACCAGAGACAGAGTGGGGAATAGAACAGGCAGATTGACTGAAACACACTGCTGAGGGGAGCAGCGGGTGAGACAGGAGAGGTCTGCTTCACCATGTGGGTTGCTCCCTGGTGGGCTGGGGATCAAACTTATGCTGCAGAGGCTGTGATTGCTTCATAGTGTGGTGCTTAACCCCTTGCACCACCATGGCCCCCCCCCCCATTATTTTCTACAGAATGTTACAGCTATGACATTGTAACACATAGATGTGTATTCATGAGTTATTTTACTGTACTTCAGTGTAGTAAAAGGGCATTATAGAGTATGTGTCATGAACTAGAGACACTGGGGCTACGAATTGCCATTTAAAAGCCAGTGAATCTTAGCTCTTGTGTGGTTTGGGGCAACCTCTCTGACTCATTTTTCTCATATGTAATGTTTGTAAATATAAGTAAGTGTGTGGGTTAGGATCGGGATACACTAAGAGCTCTAAATGTGTCTGATATAAGTAAAACAAATATTAGATTGTAGGGCCCAGGAAGGTGTAAGTCCTACTGGTGGCCTATTCCCTGAGTGAGGGCCTAGCAATGCCTGGCACAAGTACGTGCTCAACAGACTTGGTTTACTCATTGCACCTCTGTCAGTTCATAGCACCTTTTTGATGCTAGCGTCTTAGTACACTGAGCAGTATTTTTGTGGAGCAGAACCCAGTCTTACTTCCAGACCTTTGCATCTGCTGTTCCCCCTGCCTGAAACCCACTCTCATGACTCAGCTCAAGTCCCTCAGAAGCAGCTGACATTGGTAGGGGTTAGTTCTGTGTCCGCCTCGGCGCACCCTCCAGAAGGCAGAACAATGACCTCTGTTTTATATGAAACACTGTCATTTGGGGCCTCCTGGCAAATGCAAAGCTATCGAACTAGTCCTCACAACTCACCTTCCATAGAAGCAGCGGTTCCTGTCTGCTAGGTGTCCCACAAAGGTGCCCTGATAGCCACAAATCTTTCGGAGCTGGCAAGGATGAAGAAAGGAGGGACAAATGGGATGGGCATGATTGGACAGATTTCCAGGAAGGGAGACCTGGATACAGGAGCAAGCCCAGAGATCCTCACCAGAGGGCAGTGTCTGGAAGGACAGAACAGGGCTCTCCTCCCCCCACAGATCCTCTTCTTTCTCCATTCGGCAGCGGCCATACACCTCATAGCCAGTGGCTAGCTCCAGGTCCCGGATCTCAATAGGAGTCAGGGGTATGGACTTTACTTCTGGTTCCAACTGAGGGAGAGAGAGGGGAGAGCAATGAGACGGAGGGTTGAGTTCAGAGCACTTGGCCTATGCGTCAGCAGGGTGACAAACTGTCCTACTTTGTCTGGGACCAAGGGAGGGGGTTACACTGACACAGGGTTTTCAGTCTTAAAAACGGGTCCATCACAGGCAAAAGAGACAACCAGTTGGTCAATCTATGTGTCAGGTATAGCAGAAGGTGGTGCAGTCTATTATTGTCTCCATTTTACAGACAAGGAAACTGAGTTCCAGAGAAGAGAAGTGAATTTCCCAGGCTCATAGAAGTAGTGAATTTGGAGCTGAGATTTGTACCCAGGCTGTCAGATTCCAGAGTCTGCATTTCAACATTGCTTTGAAATGCATGAATGGTTGCAATGAGAGCTCTGCTCTGTGTTGTATTGTTTTACAACAAAAACTGTGGCTAAAACAGTTTATTCTCCCCAATACCCATTTTTCCCTTCTTCCTTTGGAAATAGAACCCTTGAGAACCACCTGGGGACATGGCTGTCAAGAATAAAGACTACATTTCCCAATCTCCCTTACAGTTAGACAAGACCACACGACTATGTTCCAGCCGATGAGATAAAGAGAAAATGATACACGCAACTTTCAGGTTGTGCTATTAACCTGAGTAGGAGAATCCCAACTCCTTCTGGGACCCTATTGTTTTGAAGTTGTCCTCCACTTTCTTGCTGTGTGAACATAGAAAGTTGTTTAACTTGTCTGGGTTTAGCTTTCCCAACTTTAAAACAGAGGTCTTAAAACCATCTACTCAACAAGGGAGATTGGAAGGACTCATACAGATAGTCCATGCAGATTGCTTAGCGTGGGACCTGAAAAGATTGGGTGCTCAGAAATGTCTTTTGAGTTTTTGCTGAAAACAAGACCCTGTTCCTCATCTGTAAAATAGGTAGGTATAAAGTGGCCCTATCTCAAAGAGCTCTTGTAAGGATTCAACAAATAAGTGTTTGTAAGGAGCCTAGAACTATGTCTGACACACTAAGTAGAGTCTCACTAAGTGTCTGGTGCTTTTAATAGTAACATAAGCTGTTTGAGGATTTTACTCACTCATAAAAATGTCAGAGGAAGTTTATTGTTTCTCAAAAATTCTTTTTTTTTTAAATTATATATATTTTTATTTATTTATACAAGCACTGGGTACAGTCAGAAGTGTGGGAGGGTGAGAGAATTCACCAGAGCCAGAGCGGGGAGCAGAGCAGGCAGAAGGACCGAAGTACACTGCTGAGGGGAGCAGCAGGCGGCAGGAGAGGTCTGCGCGCCATGTGGGACCCTCCTCCGGTGGCCGGGGAGCAGCCGGGGATCGAACTGGCGCCGCAGAGGCTGCGGGCAGCCTCGCAACCCAGCGTTCAACCACTGCGCCACCGGGGAGGCCCTGTTTCTCAAAAATTCTAAGTGAATTTTGGATTAGAATCACATGAAATTTATAAATTTGGTGGGGGGTGTTAGTTTTTAGTAGAGCAAGATATAGGTACAGACCTTTTGTGTGGGATGTGGACAGTTATACCAGGGACAGTAAGCATGGGGCTGGATCACTGGTTTGAGGGTGATGATCAGAACAGGGTTTGGGAAGAGAGCCTCTGACACTCACCAGGGTCCAGGTCATCTCCTGGCATCTTCGGTAGTAGAACTGGCACATCAGGACCTTATGAGGTGGCCACCCAGGTGGGGCCCATTGGACAGTGGCTTCCCGGGGGTCATCCTCTAGGAAGTCCACATCAGGGTATAGCCAGGGGGCATCTGGCTTCACTGAGGAAGGGGAGACCCAGTGCAGTGAGCCAGAACCTCGGGGACTACCCACCCCACACATAGCTCACCCCATTTCCCGCCTGTTACTTCGGGTTTCCAGGTTTACAAAGACTTGGGGCCAGAGACACTGGCCCGCCGCAGACCCCCAGACAAGGAGTTCATCAGACATGGTGAACTGTTCCCGTGGAATGGTCACCCAGCTCTGCCCAGGGGGCACTGCCACGGTCCAGCTCCTGTTGGAATGGCTGTGAGGAGAGAGGTGGGGGTGCATTAGCTTGGGCCCTAAGCCCTAATGTTAACAACTGCTCTGCCAGCATTCAAATCCTGGCTCTGCTACTTCAGGCTGTGTGACCTTGAAGCAAATGCCTTCACTTCTCTGTGCCTCAGTTTCCTCATCTACAAAATGAGAGCAATGAAGGATGTGCTGAAAGGACTGAATAGGAGAGGGGAATGGATAATAAATGCATGGAGAACAGCACTGGATGCACACCGGAGCACAAGTGGTTGTATTTATTGAGCACCTCCTATATATATGCACATTCATGCCTCTGCAATTACTGTCAGCAAATATATATTGTGCCAGGTGATAAACTATGGTCAAAGCAGGCAAGGATCTGCTGCCTGGAGCCAATCCAGGGTATGAGGCAGATGAGAAACACATAAATAAGTCATTTGATGGTGTTATAAGTGATGTAAAGAATAAGCAAGCAGGGTGAAGAGGACGTGGCATGACGGTGGGGGAAGAGGGACAGCGAGTGCTATATTAGGGATGGTGATCAGGTAAGGTCTCTCAGTGAGGAAACACTTAAATTAAGGCCTAAAGGACAAGAGAGTGGAACCACACAGTACATTTTAGGAAGAGGGTAGCCAGTGCAAAGACCCTGTGGTCACACTGTGCCTGGTAGTTTTGAGGAGCCCCACAAGGGTGGAGTAGAGTGAGGGAGGGAGAGTATGGGGTTGGGGTGAGTGAGGGCAGAGGGGTGACAAGCAGCTTGTGTATGGCCTCATAGTTATAGGAAGATTTTGGCTTTTTAAGAATTTTAAAAAATATTTTATTTATTTGTGTGTAGAACTGTGGTATAGGCCAGATGTGTGGGGCAGGGGTAGGGGGGAGTGGTAGTGGTGGTGGTGGTGGTGAAAGAATCCACCAAAGACAGAGTGGGGAGCAGAACAGGCAGATTTACTGAAATAAACTGCTGAAGGGAGCACGAGCTAGACAGGAGAGGTCTGCTGCGCCATGTGGGTCATCTCCCTGGCTGTGGATCAAATTCAGGCCACTGCAGCAGTGGTAGTGCTGAGACCTTAACCCCTAGGCCACCAAGACTTTGGCTTTTACCTTGAATGGATGGAAGCCATTGAGGGTTTGTAAGCAAAGGAAGGATGGCACTTGTCTCAGATATTCCCAGATGTCCCCTAGATGCACTAGGGGAATAGACTACGAGATTAGGAGTAGAACCAGAACCCAGAGATGAGCTTTCTGCAGCCATGTATTGCTTATCAACATGGACACATTCTAAGAAATGTGTTATTAGGTGATTCTGTCATCATGTAAATGTCATAGAGGATAATTATACAAATACATGACACAGACTACTACACATCTAGGCCATATGGTGTAGCTTATTGGTACCACTGTCATTTGTGTGGTCTGTCATTGACTGAAATATCATTAAGCAACACATGACTGTATATGATCCAGGCCAGTGATGCTACAGATTGGACCAGGGTAGGTATTGAGGAAGTGGGGAATGTCAACTTGCAGATAACATGCAAGGTGGAGACATCAAAGCTAGCCAATGCATCAAATGTGGGTGAGACAGAGAGGAGATGAGGAAGTCCCCAAGAATTGGATTTGAAAGTTATGAAACAAAGCCTGCATTAAAAAAACAAAAACAAAAACATAGGTGTAGGGGCCACCCTGGTGGTCTCAGCGCTATCAAGCTATCCCCAGCCTCTACAGCATGAGCTCAATCCTTGACCAGGGAGCTGACCCACAAGGCACAGCAGACCTCTCCTATCTCGCCTGTTGCTCCCCTCAACAGTGTATTTCAGTAGATCTGCCTGTTCTGCTCCCCAATCTGTCTCTGGTGAATTCTCTCACACACCACACCTCTGGCCTACACCCTGGTTCTTGTATGCATAAGTAAATTAAAAAAAAAAAACTTAATTAAAATAACAACAACAGGATCTCCCTGGTGGCACAAGGGGTTAAGCACCGTACTATGAAGCAATCCGCAGCTTCTGCAGCACGAGTCCAATCCTGGCCAGCCAGGGAGCAACCCACATGGCGCAGCGGACCTCTCCTGACTCGCCTGCTGCTCCCCTCAGCGGTGTTCTTCGGTCAATCTGCCTGTTCTGTTCCCCACTATGTCTCTGGTGAATCCTCTCACCCCCTGCATCTCTGACCTGTACCCCAGCTCTTGTATGCATAAATAAATAAATCTTAAACAACAACGACAACACAGGTGTAGATGTGATGACACTGGAGCCCACTGCCAGTGGGAATGTAAAATGGTGTAGCTGCTGTGGAAAAGTCTGGTGATTCATCAAAGTTAATTATAGAATTGCCTTAGAATCCTGCGATTTTACTTTGCAGGCATATATCCCCAAAGTATTGAAAATGGGGACTCAAAACATATAAATGCATGTTCACAGCAGCAATAGTCACGATCACCAAAAGATAGAACCACCCCAGTTGTCCATGAACAAATGAATGGACAAACAAAATGTGGTAGGGCCTCCCTGTGGCGCAAGGGGTTAAGCACCACACTGAAGCAATCCACGACCTCTGCAGCATGAGTTCGATCCCCAGCCGGCCAGGGAGAAACCCACATGGCGAGGCAGACCTCTCCTGTCTCACCCGTTGCTCCTCTCAGCAGTGTATTTCAGTCAATCTGCCTGTTCTGTTCCCCACTCTGTCTCTGGTAGATCTTCTCACACCCTCACCCCCACATCTCTGGCCTGTGCCCCAGTTCTTGTATGCATAAATAAATAAATCTTAAAAAAAATGTGGTAGATTCATACAGTGGAATATTATGTAGCCCTAAAAAGGACTGAAGTTCCTCCAATGTGGATGAACCTCAAAAGCATGCTGAGTAAAAGCAGCCAGACACAAAAGGGCACTATAATTCAGTTTCTTGAAATGTTCAGAACATGCAACTCTACAGAGAGGAAGCCCAGGAGTGGTTGCCAGGACTAGTGGAGGGAGTAATTGGGCACAGAACTTCCTTTTGGGGTGATTGAAATGTTTTGGAACTAGACAGAGGTGGTGGTTGCACAATATTGTGAATGTGCTAAATGCTGGTTCACTGAATTACTCACTTTTAAATGGTTAATTTTATGTTATATGAATTCTACCTCATTTTTCAAAAGGGGGACCTTCTCTGATTTCCCCACTCTCTACACATTAAAATTAGATCCTCTTCTGGAGATGGAGGGTGGTGACAGTTGCATATCAATGTGAATGTACTTAATACCACTGAACAATGGTTGGGTGGCGGCAAAAGTGGTAAGATTTTATATGTATACTTTACCACCATTAAAAAAAGCCCCGACCCCAGTTCCTACTTTTTAATGTCCCTTTTACTCTTCCATCACATGCTAAAGAAAGCAGCCAGACAAAATGAGCAGAATGTGAAAGGAACTTGAGTTTCCAAGTGTAATTCATCATGATGGTGTACCAGTATTTCCTGGGGCTGTGGGCCCTGTGGGTCATTTTCTATTTGCTTCTTTCATTTTTGCCTCCCCAGCACCAGGCAGAATGATCTCTTCATATGCTCCAGAGAGGTTAAGCTACTTGCCTGAGGCCACACAGGAAAAAAAAAAAAATTCTTGGGCCTCCCAGGTGGCCCAGTGGTTAAAGTCTCAGTGACAACAAGCTATTGCCAGCCACTGCGTTCCCCACCCAGGGAGCTAACCCACAGGGCACAACAGACCTCTCCTGTCTCACCCGTTGCTCCCCTCAGCAGTGTATTTCAGTGGATCTGCCTGTTCTATTCCCCAATCTGTCTCTGGTGAATCCTCTTACCTCTCCCTGCCCCCTGCACCTTCTAGCCTACATCCCAGTTCTTGCATGCATGCATAAACTTTTTTTTTAAAAAAGTTTCTAATTAAGTGTTTTCTCTTTGTCCAGCGCCTAACTCATTGAATCTTCAGAACCAACCCTGGAAAATTCCATTATCATCACTATATAATAGGAAAAAAAAAAAGAGAGAGAAGCTCAGAGAGGGAAAGTGACTGGTCCAGTGTCAGACAGCAAGAAATTGAAGGAACCTGGAATTGAAGGGCTTGGAAGTAGAGGAGGACTGGTAGGCATAGGAGGGGAGGAGAGGGCAAACTCCTGGGTCCTCTCGGCTGGAGAAGGCTGGGATTTCAGAGCCACCCCTCCAAAGCCTCAGTTTCCCCGAAGCATCGCATTGTACTCACTACTTCTGGCTCTGGAGGTGCAGCATGGAGGGGGCTCCCAGGTCCTCAAAAGGCTCCCATGAGCAGTTCAAGTCGCCAAAGGGGCCAACTCCATAGCACTGCAGTGGTCCAGGGCTGCCTGGAGAGGGAGGCAGAGTGTCCCAGGAAAAGTAGTGAATTCTCCCAATTGCCTGCACGACCCAAAACCTGAGCTTCCTCCAACGCCTGATAATTGTGGAGGGCATTCTGGGGTCCCTTACGGAACTGAGCAGCAGGAAAGGGGCTCTGGGCGCCCCTAGCCAGGCTTGGGCGTAACTCCTCCCCTCCCTCTGCCAGTCACATCCTGTTACCTCCCCAAGAACACCCCCACCCCCACCCAGGGGCTTTGGCTTTCGCCTCGCTGCCGCCCATTCCTCTTGTTTTTCCTCCCCCCAGGAGCAGAATGGCGTCCCTACCTCTGTCATTCAGCCCGCAAACTTGTGGTTCACCTTGGAAGGTTTGCACAACACAGACACAGCACCCCACACGAGCTTGCTCCACAACTCACCATGGGGACGAGTCCGGTGGAACAGCAGCAACAAGACTGGCAGCAGCACCAGCTTCGGCAGCGGCCGCAGCCCTAAGGGGTCGCCTTGAGCCCTCAGCATGGCGATCCCCCACCTCCGACTCCCCAGTCCCGGCCCAGCCCGGCCCAGCCCGGCCCAGCGTGACCGCGCTGCTCGCCTAGCTCTCGGCCCCAGCGCCGGAGAGGCGACGGGAAGCCGGGCCACCCCTCGCGGCCGCCTCCGCACCTTGCGCTCTGGGTCTCCGCCCCTTCCCCACGACGGAAAGTCCCAGGCTGACATCGCTGCTGCCGGGGAGGGAGAGTGGGGAGGCGGCCTCGGACCAGTGGGGGACAGGGTCCTTGAGGGCGCGATTGGGCTCCCCTGAAAACTGCGCCCCCCCACCCCCAACAATACACACACACACACACACAAACACACACACACGCTGCAAAGTCCTTTGGAACTTTTATTATTGGTGTTGCAGAAGGTTCTGATTCATCCCTTCATTGAGCTTCCCACCTCAAGATAGGAAGGGAACTCAAAGGTCTCCCTACTCCCAGGGCTCCACAGCCTTAGAGTCCCAGCAGACAAGAGAGGAAGTGCTGGAGTGGAAGAGGGGCTGGAAGGCAGGAGGTAGGAGTGGGCAGGGGCATAATTTGACCTGGCAGGGGGTAGTGCCCCAGTGGGGACAGGAGAGAGGACAGTTGATTTTGGCAGTGTGGCCAGTTTGGGTAGAGTAGGGGCACTGATGCAGCAGGGGACACTGTAGGCCAGGCAAAGGCATGAAATGGAGAACTCGGGGGTCAGGGTCGCAGTCCCAGTGTGGCCAGGTAGGGACACATCTTGCTCAGAGGCCGAGTACACTGGTCAAAGATCAAGATTAGGTAGAAAGCTCTTGTTGCAGTACATAATGCCTGGCTTCGGTGACTTGATGAATGACTGCATAAGGGAGGGGCAGAGTCAGATGCTCAGCTGGACACCATTTGGGGGAATGGTTGGACATCCACCATGGTGCCCCTGGCTTCCCAGTTCCTGGTTAGCAGAGGCTGCTGATTTCACTTTTGCTGCACCCCCACTTGCAGCAATTGCTGGAGAGACCAGCCAAAACATCTCGGCTGCCCCGCAGAACCCCAGGGGTTCCTTGCCAACCAGGTTGACCCCTAAAGAGGGCCTTGGGGGACTTAGTGAGGGCCAGCCATTCACTGGAAGTCATTGCTTCATCCAGCTCACTATCTGCATCAGGGTCTGCTTCTGGGAAGGCATCTCCTGCAAAGATGAAAAGAGTTAGTGCTTGGCTTTGTCACATGTATAGTCCTGGCTCCTGACTGGCCTAGCTGCTTCCCTGTTGTAGTGCCTTAGTCTCGTCCGTAAAGGTTTTGATTCCACTCAGGCCTGTGTTCCAGCTTTGATGGACTTATTATTCAACTTCACTGAATGTGACTTTCCTTTCTTGTCATTTATTCTCCCCACTCTTTATTATGGAGGATCTGATATTTAAGACCTCGTACTTGGGAGCCAGGCTGACTAAACACCAACACAGCCTGAGCAAGTGAATTTACTTCTTTGAGCTCCTTGCAAAGTGAGGAAAATAGTATCTCTTACTTTCTAAGGGTTTAAACATAGTATACAAGTTAATACTAAGTATATAAATTAGACTAATGGCAAACACGCGACAAGCACCCAAAATAGGATTAATTGCTTATTGAGCATTTACTGTGTGTTAGAAACTGTTGTAAGACCTTTAACAGATTAATCACTTTATTCCTCTCAATGGTAATCCCATGAAGTAATAGATGTTTTTCCATTTTCTACAAGAGAACTCTGAGTCAATAGAGTAACTTGCCCCAAAACACACAACTATTAAGTTGTAGAGCTGCTATATTTGAATTCAGGCAGTGGGTCTTCTAGGTCTACATCCATAATATAATATAATATAATATAATATAATATAATATAATATAATATAATATAATATAATATAAATAATTATAATGTCTTTTTTGCCAGACTCCTGTTCTCCCATGAAATTGGGGTCCCTGCCCCCCTCTGAACATAGAATGAGTTGACCTGCTTAGACCTGTGCCTTTATCTGTTTTGGCTCAATTTTGCACTTAATAACATTGCAAGATCAGGAAGTGCCTCCTATTTGCAGATAAAGAGGCTCAGAAAGGGGAAGCAACTTGCTGGGAAGGGTAGCCCCCTAATTGGCAAAATCCAGCCGGGTATATCTCACAACCCTCACCCTGTCTTTCCTGGAGTGAGAAAGTTCAGGCTTCTGAATTGTGCCCACCCTGGAATTATATAAGCAGCAGCCTTGCTCAGAGCAGGGCTGGGCACGGAGTAGGAGCTCCAAAAACTCTAGCCTGGTTTTTGATTTCTAGTCATGGCCATGGTTTGCCATCCCAGCTCTGCACTCCTCACAGTTTCCAGGGTTAGGCCCCACTGCACCTGGTAGGGCAAAAACTCTTGCACCTGTGCTCTTTGTCTCATCTCCCTCCCTGGCTCCTTAATCCCATCCCATGTCCCATCTACCTCCTCCACCCACTCCCACCATCTCCCCATCCTCACCAATAGCATCATGGGCCAGGATGTCTGAACGTTTCCACCGGGAGCCCCCGCAGGTGAAAATGACTGCTCGGATGAACTCTCGGCCGCAAAGCTTCACTCCATAGGGTGTTGCCCGGGACTCAGCCCTCAGCCACAGCTCCCCAGCAAGCACCCATACCACTAGCAGTAACAGCAGCGGGCACTTGGCCATTCTGGACAAACAGTTCTGGGACTCAGAGCTGGCACAAGGAGGCTTCCCAGGAGTTGGTGGCTCCACTGCCTCCTGGCCCCTCATTTATATATCCTGGCTCCCCCTATCCATCTTGAAAGAACTGAGTGACTTCCTTTATCTCCTCCAGCAGAGGGGAGGCAAGCACGACCCCCGCCCCCTCAACCTTTCCTGTTTCCTGGACCAAGCGATAACCTTTCTCTAAGAATGGGGTGACGTGGCCAGGCTCTCTCACTGTCATCTTCAACAAAGAAGAGGTGAGAAGGCCTTGATTCAGCAGAAATCAGCAACCCAGACTCCCACAGATGGGAGAAAGGGTGCAGCCAACCCTCCCCACACATACCCCATACGGCTGGGGTCCGGGACTTCCCCTACAATAACAACAAAGACAGCGAGCATTATTATAATACAGACTATGAGGCCAGGCACTGCTCTAAGTATTGCATATTTGTATGATCAATTTAATCCTCCCAATGACATTACATAAGGATTCTCAAACTGAAGCAGGCCTCAGAATCTCCTGGAGGGCTTATTGAAACACAGACTGCTGGAGACTACCCACAGAGCAACTGAGAAATTGCGTTTGTGACAAGTTTCCAGATCATGGTAATGTTGCTCACAATTTTGAGAGCCACAGGACTATAGGATTAGGACTAGGATTATCCCCATAGTACAGAGGAGGAAACTGAGGCACAGTACAGTGACAAAATGTGCCCAAGCTCAAATCAGTAAGTGGGAATCCAAACAAAGTTGTCTGACTCCAGAATCCATACTTTCCAAGTATGGATTAAGAAAAAGAATTAAGAAAAAATGTCTAAGGATTAAGAAAAAATGTCTAAGGATTAAGAAAAAATGTCACAGGTACTGAGGTTTGGTTTTGCAAGATGAAAAGAGTTCTGGAGGGCCTCCCTGGTGGCATAAGGAGTTAAGCACTGTGCTATGAGGCAATCCGCAGCCTCTGCAGCACGAGTTCAATCCCCGGCCAGCCAGGGAGCAACCCACATGGCGAAGCAGACCTCTCCTGTCTTGCCCGCTGCTTCCCTCAGCAGTGTGTTTTGGTCAGTCTGTCTGTTCTGTTCCCCACTCTGTCTCTGGTGAATCCTCTCACACACACACACACCCCACATCTCTGGCCAGTACCCCAGCTCTTGTATGCATAAATAAATAAATCTAAAAAAAAAAAAAAAAGAAAGAAAAGTTCTGGAGATGGATGGTTGCATAACAATGTGACAGATGCCACTGAAATATACTAGTTAATATGGCTAATTTAATTGGCAAATTTATTTAAATTTTATGTAATATGTACTTTTATTTAAAGATTTATTTATTTATGCATACAAGAGTTGGGGTACAGGCCAGGGATGCAGGGTGGGGAGGTGAGAGGATTCACCAGAGACAGAATGGGGAACAGAACAGGCAGATTGACTGAAATACACTGCTGAGGGGAGCAGCGGGCGAGACAGGAGAGGTCTGTTGTGCCATGTGGGGATGGAACTTGTGCCATGCTGCAGTGACTGTGGATAGCTTCATAGTGCTGTGCCTTAACCCCTTGTGCCACCAGGGAGGCCCTGTTATGTATATCTTAACACAATTGAAAAATAACAGTGAAAAATGTTATTTAATATCATATATACAGGGGAACTGTTGATGTGCTAGAAATGTTTTAATGATGGGTTTCCCAGAATGAAAAAACAACAACAACACCTGCTGCCCTGATTTGTAGCAGTTGGTTTCTTGCCAGTTTCAAATCAGCAGTATGATGTCAGTGTGATGTTGCCAAATTCCTGGAAAGTTAACAGTCACAGATCAGTATAAACCAGTTCTGGGATGGCAAGAGCACACACGTGCAATTTAAAGAATCACTGCAGGGCCTCCCTGGTGGTGCAAGGGGTTAAGCACAGCACTGGGAAGCTGTCCGCAGCCTCTGCAGCAGTTCGATCCCCTGCCCGCCAGGGAGATATTCACATGGTGCAGCAGACCTCTCCTGTCTTGCCTGCTGCTCCCCTCAGCAGTATATTTCAGTGCATCTGCCTGTTCTGCTTCCCACTCTCTTGCTGGTGAATTCTCTCAAACATCCCCCACCCCGCATCTCTGGCCTGTACCCCAGTTCTTGTATGCATAAATAAATAAATCTTTAAAAAAAAATTAAAAATCATTGCAAACAGGACACTCATGTCATCATCACTCATATCAGGAAATAGGAAGGTGCCAGTTCCACAGATGTCCCCCAGTGTATATCTCCTCTGGTCACATCCCTCCCTGCAAAAGGGTAGACATCATTCTATCTTCAGCCAGTGTCACTTCATTTTTTGTTATGATTTTTTTTTTACACTCTTCCAATGAGTACTTATTAGTTAAACCATGATGCAGGTTCCCAGGGTGGGGATCACCATGTATCCAGATCCTCATTCATCACCTAGGAAAAGGATGGAGGACCAAGGAGGGGGATGGTAAAGCCCATTCAGATCTTCCTAGTAATCACACCTTCTGCCCCATAGTCATTCCAGGTTGTCCCCTGGGACATGGGGCATAGGGATTTGTACGAACGCCTGTGCCATTCACACGTGGAGGTTTGACCCCCTTTGGTGGTCATTGCCTTCTCACAGCAGTACAAGCAAGTCCTGGGAATTCTGCCAGCAGTTGATCTGGTTCTGAAGGGGGAAGCAGCTGTCAAAAGCAGCAGTGTGGCCATTCTTGATTTTGGTCTTGATGACTTCTTCTGCCAGGGTGCAGACGCTGAAAGACAGCCCTGAAGCACCTTGCAGCTCAGTGTGACCCTCAGCCAAGACCTCAGTAGTTTTAACACTAATGTGTGTGTGGGAAACAAATAGCTCAGTCTCTCTGTGTTGTTGCCTTTCCCCCCTTCTTTTTGCACTTTAACAAAATGGAAGTATGTACTTTCATCAAAGTATGACATAGAAAAAGAAAAGCGGGCAGTGGGCTGTTGGAAGAATTTTCACAAACTGAAACACTTTTGTATTTCACACTCAGGTGCAGGAACAGAACATTCCCAGCCTCCACCTAGGGACAGGGGCATGAAGCTACAACTTCTGGGAGGAGAAGATAGAGAAATTTGTAGATGTATGTTAAAATTCCCACACTAATTGATAAATACTTTGGGTGAGACACTTTGATATTATGCATAGACCTGTTATCCTTTGAAGTTTCACCCACTGGTTTTATTTATTTTTATAGAAGTAGTATCGGTTTGTAACATATAGGTTTGATGTGTGGAGTATTATAAATCAAAAGTTGTATATACTACATTATGTTCACTACTGAAAATTGAGATTTCATCTTTTGCCACATAAGAAACCCCTTTTCTGTTCCTCTCTGGTAACCACTATTTTGTTATGTAGTCTTAAGAATTTGTTTTTGTTTTGTCTTACATGTTCATTAGTTTTGTTTCTTTATTTTCCACTGAGATCATACAGGGCCTCCCTGGTGGTACAGGGGTTAAAGACAGTGCTATCAAGCGACTGCCAGTCACTACAGCATGAGTTCAATCCCCGGCTGGCCGGGAGCAATCCACATGGCACAGCAGACCTTTCCTGTCTCTCCCACTGTTCCCCTCAGCAGTGTATTTCAGTCAATCTGCCTGTTCTGCTCCCTACTCTCTCTGGTGAATCCTCTTATCACCTGCACCTCTGGCTAATACCCCAGTTCTTTTTTATATACCCCAGTTCTTGTATGCATAAATAAATAAATCTTTAAAAAAAAACAAGGGAGATCATACAGTGTCTTTCTTTGTCAGATTCATTTTGTTAAGCATAATACTTCTAGTCCTTCCATATTGTTATAAAGAGCAGAATTTCATTTTTTTCAATTTTTAAAAAAGATTTATTTATTTATTTATACAAGCAGTGCGTACTGTCAGAAGTGCGGGAGGGTGAGAGAATTCACCAGAGCCAGAGCGGAGAACAGAACAGGCAGACCGGCGAAGTACACTGCTAAGGGGAGCAGCAGGCAGCAGGAGAGGTCTGCGAGCCATGTGGGACTCTTGCCTGGCAGCCGGGATCGAACCGGCGCTGCAGAGGCTGCAGGCAGCTTCACAACCCAGCGCTCAACCGCTGCGCCACCGGGGAGGCCCTTTTCATTTTTTTCTTACAGCTAAATGGTACTGCATTGGGGTATATACTACATTGTCTTTATCCAGACATCTGGGTACTGGGTTGTTTGCAACTCCAGAGGTGCAACAAACATGTATCTCTTCAAATTAGTGTTTTTGTGCTCTTTGGGTAAATACCTAGAAGGGGGCTATTCACCCAGATCTTAGCATTCGTGGATGGATCATGTATGCAGAAATTATTGATATGATATTTGTTAGTCATCTTCTATTTACCTCATTTCTTCTATATTAACTGTTTTTTATTATTGAGAATACTGCAAAGGAAGAGTTGTTTTGTGTATTTAATCAATCATTTATTTATATTGATATGGACTCGAATAGTTATTTTATTCTTTGGGTTATAATCCAATACTGTTATTTATTTTGTTGCCCAAATTTTTTTTTTTAGTTGGTGCCTGCTCTTATGATATTATTCCACTTTAAAAAAAACCACTTTCTAAATTTCTGGCACTACAGATGCCCCAGACACATCTTGAGTTTTCCCTTTTGCAGCCCTAGAATCAGCTATTTTCCCAAAGAAACTGGGTTCTTCCTCTATTGGAGAAAAGCACTGAGAAACCAAGATTGGGATGCTTACGTATGCGCATTTTGGGGGGTGGCAGAAGGTGGAGGTATCACTTTTTCTAGGCTGTTTTAACTCATAATATTACTTTTTTAAATATTGAGGTAGAATTCATATGAAATAAATTAACCATTTTAATGTTACATGCACATTCATGTTCATAGTAGCACTATTCAAATTTGCCAAAAGATAAACATCACCCAGATATTCGATCAACAGATAAATGGATAAACACAAGGTAGCTCATCTGTACAATGGAATATTACTCATCTACAAAAAGGAATGCAGTTT